ATAAGCTAACTTTCTATGGTCTCCAAACTCCCTCTTGCTCTTTAACTCCCCTTTCAACTAACTAAACATATTCAAAAAGAAAATATAGGTTTCATTCATAAGCTATTTGAAACTTTTTAGTCTGATATTTGTTTTGAATATAGTCAATCCATCTTCTCCATTCCAATATATATCTTTCATTTGAATGGTCCTTCAAATACGCTGAAATTTTGGCCATCTCTGCTAAATTCACTACTTTTAGTGTCCATTCTTCAATAGTAGGCAAGTCTTCCTTCTTCCAGTACTGTGCCACCAAGAGTCTGGCTGCTGTTATTAAATTTAAAATCAACTTAGTCTCTATAACAGTACAATCTGTAATTATGCCTAACAAAAAGAACTGTGGGGTAAATTTTATCTTCTTTTTGAGAATATTTTGAATAATCCACCATATTTTTATCCAAAATGCCTTAATTTTTTTACATGTCCACCATATATGATAATACGTGGCATCATCACATTCACATCTCCAACACTTAGGTTGCACACTTGGATACATACAGGCTAGCTTTTTAGGATCCAAATGCCATCTATAAAACATTTTATAAAAATTCTCTCTTAAATTTTGGGCTTGAGTGAACTTCACATTTCTAGCCCATATTTTTTCCCATGTTTCCATCATTATTGGTTCTTCAATATTTTGTGCCCACTTTATCATACAGTCCTTAACTAACTCCGTTTCTGAATCTATTTCTACCAACGCATTATACAACCTTTTTATGTGCATTTGACTTTGATCTCTAATCTGTTTTACCAAATTCTCCTCATTTTGCAGAAAACCAATTTTCTGATCTTCTCTCCATCTAGCTTGCAACTGTACATATTGAAACCATATTCGAATTGTCCTTTCTTCTCTTAGTTGATTCAAAGATTTTAATTGTAGTATACCTCTTTCCTTGTTAAGAAGCTCTTTGTATGTAATCACATCTTGTTTTTGCTGTACACTTATATTTTCTATCGCGTGTCTGGGTATTGCCCACAATGGTAACTTCTCATTTAGTTTATACTTATACTTTTTCCAGACACGCAATAGAGCATTCCTTAATATATGACTTTTAAAAGTCTTGTCCACTTTCTTATCATATAATAATATTTTAGCAAAAATCTTGTAATCTGTATTTAAAAGTGATATGGGCCTATAATTTTTTGGCTGGGTGTGGTCTTGCTCCTCCTTTGGAATCAGAGAAATATAAGCTGTCCTCCAAGATGGGGGTACATCTCCTCCAGATTGTATATTAGTAAATAATTCTTTGAGTGGTCCGACCATTTCTAACTGCAAATGTTTATAATAAGCAGCTGTCAAGCCATCCGTCCCAGGAGCTTTACCCACTTTCAACTGCTTAATTGCAAACATAATCTCCTCAGTGGTTATTGGTTGATTTAAACCCTCCCTTTGCTCTTTTGTAATTGTAGGAATATTCTCTTTCTGTAAATATCTATATCTGTACCTTGAATTTTATCACTAGCATACAACCTCGTATAAAATTCTAAAAATGCTTTTTTAATTATATTTTGTTGATAAACCTCTTTACCTTTATATTCTATTTTCTCTATAGTCCGTGACTTTTGTTTTTTCCTTAACAAATATGCTAACCATCTCCCTGGTTTATTAGCATTACAAAAAATATTATGTTTAGCATATTGCAAATTAGTTGCAACCTGAACTGCCATTAACATATTAAATTGCCCTCGCAATAAATTAATTGCTTCTTTTATTTTCTTATCTGCTGGATTCAATATCAAACTTGTTCTTTTTTTCTAATTTCCTCTTCTAAATCCTTCATTTCTTTTTCCTGTTTGCGTCTATATTTATTATTCAAATATATCAAAATGCCTTTCATATATGCTTTACTTGCATCCCATACCATTTCCATAGATGTACCCTTATGCATATTTATGATAAAAAATTCTTTCATAAATTTTTTACATTCTTTTACATTTTCCTCATATCTAAACAGATTTTCATTTAACCTCCAAGACCTCTTAGATCCCCTTCCGTACTCTAATTCCATCCAAACTGGACTATGATCTATTAAAACTCTTGGACAAATCTTCGTCTTCTTCACCCTGGAAAAAAGATCATTTGTAATTAATATTAAATCAATCCTGGAGAAAGATTGATGTCTATCAGAAAAGAAAGTAAAATCTTTTTCTTCAGAGTTTCTCTCTCGCCAGATATCTCTCAGCTCCATATCCTCCATCATTTCAAAAAACGATTTTGGTAATCTGGCATGCGTTGAAATGTTCTGCAAGAGCCCCTTCTTATCTTTTTTAGTGTCCAAAACTCCATTCCAATCGCCCAATAAAATACATGATTTATAATCCCATTGTAGTAACTTGGAATGTAAAAGCTTAAATTTTTTTTCCTGTTGTTGGTTCGATGCGTAGACTCCAATTAAAAGTATTTTTTCTCCTTTTATTAAAAGTTCAATTGCTATAAATCTTCCTTGATCATCTGCTTCAATTAATTTGGCAATTAAGTCTTTTTTTAGGTATATAACTATACCATTCTTCTTCTCGGGAGCAAATACAACAAAATGTATACCTAACCTTGCATTCATTAAGTATTTTTGATCTTTACTTCTAATATGAGTCTCTTGTAAACAAATTACATCATTTTTAAACTGTTTCAAATAATAAATATTTTTCTCCTCTTTTGTGGTGAATTTAGGCCGTTAACATTTCAGGTCAAAAATCTAGTTGCCATCCTTGGCCCCCTGAAGCATTTGGAGCATCTGCTGGAAATCTCCATGCATTTTACTTTTTGGCCTTGCTCCTCCCACTGCTTCTGTTTTTATAGTATCTTGAATCATTTGAAGTTGCTGCAGTCTTAGCTCTTCTTGATGCTTGGCTGCCGCTCGAGTCTGTCTTTGATCCTTAGGTTCTTCTATCTCCAAAGCTTGAACAGTAGTCGAAAATTGTATTAATTCTTCTTGAACAATCAAATCACCCTTTTGGGCCTGTGCCAACAATTCTTCTTTCTCCCCCTTTCTTGCCCCCTTTATTTCCGTCTTCCTTCTAGCTTCCTGGGGCTGTGGGCATCCAGCCTTTAATACATTGGTATAGAAATCTTTTGCCTTCCACACTGAATTGAGATGATATCTTTCTCCTGAATAATTCACCATTAGACCAGCTGGAACTTCCCATCTATACTGTATCTGACAGTTTCTCAGTTCTTCCACCAGAAAGGCATAATCCTTTCTGGCTCTCAACATTTTGGGGGGAATTTCTTTCAGTGTTAAAACCTCCTGCCCCTGCACTTGAAGTTTATTTTTAAAAGTGACTTGTAAGATTTCATTACGTAATCTCCTTGTTGTAAAATAGACTACAATGTCTCTTGGTAGATGTTTCTGTCTGGCCACCCATGAATTAACACGATAAATTTTGTCAATTTACCATTCAAAATTTGCTTTTTGATCTCCCATTATCTGTGCAAATGTTTCTGAAAAGATCTCTCTCAAATTCTCTTGCTTATTTTCCTTGAGGCCTCTTATTCTCAGAGCAAATTCCATGTCTCTATATTGTATCATAATCACATCAGCCTCTGCTCTTTCCATCTTGTCCTGGACCTCCCCCATTTTATTTTCCAAGTTCTCATTAGTCTGCTTAATTTCTTCCACTTTTTCATCTATTGCTTCAATATGTCCTGCCAATTCTTGTACTGCCATGATAATATCTTCTCTAATTTCTTGGTTTCATTTTTGAATAGTCTCTTTGACTTGAGCTATCTCTTCAGCAACCTCTCAAGTTTGCTCCTGAAATATTGAAGCAATTTTTTTTTCTGTAACAGAGGCTTGTGTTTTGAGGGCTTCCTGCAACATTTCAAATGTTAATATTGTTGGTTCCGTTGGAACAGAGAGAGATTGCAATCTGGACGTTTGAGCTGGCGAAGTCCTAGCACTTTTGGGGACAATAGCCTTAATTTGTTTTGAAGCCATTTTTGGTTTCCAATTTAAATTTATTCAGCTGCCAGAACAATAGATCCACCAAATCCAGAAATCAGTCTTTAAATAATATCAATCCTTTTTTTAAAAATCACTGCTGTAATCTTTGATCTTCTCCTTTTTTTTTAAAGCACAAATCTCTAATTTTGAACAGGGACTGCCAACACTAAAAGAAACTTTCCTTTTTAACTTTTGCTTTCACGCCCCATTAAAGCTCAATCACCATCTTGGTTTCACTTTCTCCCCTTAATAAGTCAGAAGGAAGTAATACACATTTGGAGTTAAAGTTCAGTAGTTGCAGATCTAATCTTTCCTGAGTTTTCTCAGCCTGCTTCCGAATGATGTTTATTCCAAGCGTTGTTTGCAGGGGTGGTCGCGGCATCTTCTTCTGCTTAAAGCAGAAATGTCCCGGATCCGGAGCTCTGTCGGGCTTCCAGGGAGCTCTCACCCTTCGAGCCCCAGAATTGTTCCTGGGGCTCCTTGGGGAGCTCCACCTACGCCTGTCTGCTCTCTTCCTCCCCTTTTCCCGGGGAGAAAGTTTCCAAGCCGCTAGACAGCTGATTTGCGCTGTTCTAGCGGCTTTACGAGATCGCGGGGCTGGCGCTCAAGAAAAGAGCGTCCTTGGCGCCTGCAGTGCCACCGGAAGTCGAGGTGCAGGTTTTCCAGTTGCTCTTTATTGGAGTACTCCAAGGAAAAGGGCTCCTGGCAGTGGTGAAATCCAAATTTTTTTACTACCGGTTCTGTGGGCGTGACTTGGTGGGCGTGGCAGGGGAAGGATACTGCAAAATCCCCATTCCCAGCCCACTCGGGGGCCTGCCAGAGGTGGTATTTGCTGGTTCTCTGAACTACTCAAAATTTCCGCTACCGGTTCTCCAGAACCTGCTGGATTTCACCCCTGGCTCCTGGCCAAAATGCCAAGAACCAGGAACAAAGGATTAAGAAAGCTTTATACATTAAAGAAATGAAAAAGCATTTGGAGATACACAACTTTCCTTGCACTAATTTAGAATTGTTTTATAGGACAGAGAAAGAATGGCAAGCCGTCCTTTAGCAAGTGGGGGAACTGGAAAAGGCCCTTCCGGTGCTCAGTCTGGAATCCACGGGGAGATCTGGGCAAGAACTGGGCAGAAGATGCTGGAAGAAGGAACCATCGTTTCACAAGTTCACGCCTGGAACTTCAGGAGCGTCCAATATCGGGAGGATGAAGGTCCCCGAGGACTTTGCAGCCAACTCCACTACTTTTGTAGTCGATGGTTGAGACCAGAAAAGCACACAAAAGCGCAGATGTTGGACCTGGTTGTTCTGGAGCAGTTCCTGGCGCTTCTGCCCCTGCAGATGGAGAGCTGGGTGCGGGAGTGTGGAGCAGAGACCAGCTCCCAGGCGGTGGCCCTGGTGGAATGCTTCCTCCTGAGCCAGGCGGAGGAGAAGAAGGAGCAGGTTGAGTTGCAGGTGAGAGGACGTCCTCTTGGGACTCCAGAAAAAATTGAATATAATAAACAAGAAGTTCACATTTTTTGTATCCTTTTCATAGTTTTATTAAGCTTATCAAGATATAAAATATAAAAAAATGAAAATAGTAGGAAATGGGTAGAAAGGGAAGGGAAAGAAGTGTAGGGGAAAGCGGGGGGAAGAAAGAAAACAATTGACTTTTTTGGCGCAGTCACATAAAATGATAACATTACAGCTTCAATGTTTTATTTTTACATATTTATTTGAACACGTATTTGAATTTTTATATATATATCTTTGGTAGTTTATCATTGTTAACAAGAAGGATACATCATTTTATAAAAGATTTATTTTAAATTATAATTTAATACAAATGTTAAACTGTTCAACTACGTCTTCCCCTTGTTCAGGCATTGTATTATACACAAAAATCTTTGCCTTTGGATCAACGTATTCAAATTTTGATGTCTTCTTACCAGACTTTCCTGGCAGTCATACTATGTGTAGATGCTCCACTAATCTTTATGTAGTTCCCTTATCCATTCTAGAAGAAAGATTTTGCACAGGGATTTATTTCTTCCTTCCCAGCCTAATTGATCGACACCGAGTGATTTGCAGTGGTGTTCACTGGAAAAGAAACCACTTCATGATGTGTGATGTCCATTAATTCTTTTCTCCTATTTCAAGTCCTTCGCAATGGAGATCAGAGATCCTGAGAGAAAGAGGCATCCGTCAAATCTCCCTGAAGAACTGTCTTTCAGGGGGATCCCTCAGGGAGATCCAATTCAGGACACCTCAGGAGGTAATATAAGGTCTTTTCACTCCTTTGATCAATCCTAAATTTCTCATCTTCTCTGTGTCCTCTCCTCTATAGCTTTCCGCCTCCCATTTCACTAATGATGCTTTTTGAAATTCTGTCTTCCTCACAGGGAAGAATAGAAGGAAGTTGACTCGTTGTTCTGAGGGAGCGGAAACCGGGATTGAACCTCCAACTCAGGTAAGAAAAGAACATTCATTTACTAGATTCTTATTTTCCATTTCCCTCAGGAAATCAGAGTGGTGGATTCTACTTACCTTTACTACCAGTTCGCAGTGGGGCCGCGTGTGCATGCTTGCTTCACTGATGCACGTGTGCGCTCTTCTGCAAATACGCAGAAGCGTTTTGATTATGTCGGGGTCAGTGGGCTGGGCCTCCCACCAGTTTTACTACCGGTTTTATAGAATAGGTGCGAACCGGGGGCAAACCACCACTGATGTGGACAGCATAAGTACTAGTTGTAAGTGCGAAAAATGGGCATGTCATTTTTTTTGCTGCTGTGTAACTTTGAATAGTCACTAAAAAGTAAAAACTGTTGTTAGTCGAGAACTACATGTAGTGTCTTCTGCCATTTTGCCCTCTGCTTTTGGTTGGTGATTCTTTTTAGGAATTTTTTTAAGACTAGTATTTTAAAAACAAAAGTCTTTTGCTAATTACTGTGTTTACCCGAAAATAAGGCCCGGTCTTATATTCTCTTAGGCCCCGAAATTGCACTCAGGCTTATTTTCGGGGGTGTCTTATTTTTTTCACATACAGGAGGTAGCGAGCCCACCAGCCCAGCCCTCTACATCCCACACCTGCTTGCCTCAGTCGCAGTGGCCCAACTTTTCGGCACATCCCGGTCTCCATCTGCCCTGCTTGCTGGGCCTGCTGCTGCTGGGACACTTTTGGCTGCTGGCTGCCAAGCAGCTGCCTCTTGATGTGATCAAGAATGTGATCTGAATAAAACCGGCTTGTCCTACTGTTGAAATGCCTCTAGGCTCCTTCTCGAAGGGAGGGTGACTCTTCTCTGCATTTCGCCATCATGCGCAGTGCAAGCGGCACTGCACAAGTCCACTTTTTATTTTTGATGCGCGCACAACTCACAGCAACTGGGACCGCTGGGGTGGGGGGACGCACTGGCAGCAGGCAAAGGTTTGCTTCTCCCCCCATTCTTTTCTCCTCTGCTTCAGTCCAGCCCAACCCTCCACCCAGCAGCTAAGGATGAGGCGCTCGCCCACCTCTCCATGAGGCCCCTCAGGGAACACGGCATACAAATCAAAAGAAAGCGCTGTGAGTCCAGGTGTCCTTTCCGTTTGTTCCCCCTCCTCTCTCTCTTGCCCCCTCTCTCTCCCTGGGAACTGTGTGGGGAGAGGGGAAGGCCATCCAGGGGACGCTGGCAAGGCACTCTTGGCAAAAGACGAAGCATCCCTGCTGCCAGAGCCCAGAATTTTAAGGCAGAAAAGTGAAAGGGGGGGGGGGTGGTAGATTTCAAAGGCCCTGGAGAAAAAGAGCAAAGCTCTTCTGTTTGCTGTCTGAAGCGGGTGCCTAGGTCAACCCTGCGGGAAGCAATCTGCTTCTCATGGGCTTGCCGTGTTACCTGAGAGGTCTCATGGAGAAGTGGGCGAGCACCTTGTTCTTTGCTGTGCGGCTTCTCTCCCCCGTTTCTCCTGTGCTTTAGCCTAGCCTTGCCCCCTATTACCCTCCGAAGAGGAAGGCCAAGGTTCAAAGGGTATGGGAGGGCCAGGACAAATCTGAAAAAAACAGACCCTTCCTCCCATGCCAGTTTTCCAGGATCAAGCCCGGGGAGCAGCTGGCAAAGAGGCAGCCCTCAAGCGACTGCTCTCCCTTTCCTCCTTCTCCTTCCTTATGAAGTGAGGGTTGAAAAGCCCCATCGGGTTCAGACACCATCCCACCGCCTGCCTTTGCTTGAGGAGTGTGCGGCAGAGCTGGAGGACTAGGTTGGACCACGGGGCCAAACGTGCACGGGCTCGGCCATGGCTCCATCCTGCCCTGCCCCTTGGCTTCACTCACCTCGCGGAGGCACCAGCAACAACTAAAGGTATGAGGTAAGTGGGGAAGGCATGTGATCTGGCCCACAACTACGGGCAAGCAAGGAAAGACAGAGTGGCAGAGGGTTCACATGGCGCATCTGGTAGGCCAGATTGCGTACCTCCCCCACCCCACCTGCGCCTCTGCCAGTGCCACTGCTATGAGGCAAAGCAAGTGGTGAGGCGGGGGATGGCGCTAAGGCGTAGCCCCTGCATTCTCAGCCCCCGCCGTCCAGCCTGGTCCTCCACTTCCATCGCACACTCCACACAAGCAAAGACAGGTGGCGGGACAGATCACATGCCTCCCCCCACGCCCCGCGCAAGCTGCAGTTGCTTCCAGACACCATCTGGCCCCTCCATGCCCTCTGCCCCACCCTCCCTGATGACGCAGAATCATTCAAGTTGACAAAGTCTGTCTAAAATATTTCTTTAGTCACCTGCTTTTTGTTCTGTCCATTTTATCATCTAAACCATGGATTCCTACTAAGCACAGCTACTTCCCTTAGTGTATATGTTTCCTTTGGGAATTTCTAAATAAGAGGAAAGATGCTGCAGTGCCTCCTCGGTCTGTTCTGTACTTTTTTCCCCTTTCAGGAGAGTGTTGTGTCCTTTGAGGAGGTGGCTGTTTATTTCTCCGAGGAGGAGTGGTCTCAGCTGGATCCTCACCAAAGAGCTCTGCATTGGGAAGTCATGCTGGAGAATTATAAGAACGTGGTCTCTCTTGGTAAGGGTTTCCTACTCTCCAGTCAGAGAGTTCAGGAAGACATTTAGTAGTTAGATGCCATTAGTTAGTTCTTCTGAAAACATCTCTAAATAGATATCCCCCCTTCAGAGGGAGAAAGGAAAAATTCTGTTTTTCTACTGCTCCTAGGAAGGAAATGGGTGTATGGCATTCTGCTTAGATGTATCCGATCCAATTTGCTTTTGTGTTTCTATTTAAACTTTTTAGTGACAAAGTAATTCCTTAGTTTGAGGTAATGTCAAACTCCATCACACAGATTTCAACTATTTTGGCCCAGATGCTTCCATATCATTCAAGTTTTTTGACTTCATGTCTTTTTCAAGGTTTTATGCCTCATCAATAGAGATATTATCATTTCTATACCATGCTATTATAAGGATACAAATATGCAGTATATATTAGAATTTGGCACAATACCTGAAGGCAATTAATATGACTTCTGACAGAGTGATCTTTTTCCCTAACCTTTCTCTCACTTTCATTTCTCTTTCCCTTTGAAGGTGAGAATGACAATAAAGACTCTGGAGAACCAATCAAAGTGTTTAGACAAGGAGACGTAATGGAGAAACCTGCAATTCAAACAGAATTCCAAAGGCAGGAGAGAAACCTGTCAAATATCTGGAATAAGGAAAGCTCACCTTCGATTGTTGCTCAGATGCAGGACTTTATTGATCAACGAGGAAAACTAAAGAAGAAATATATTGGGAAAGGTGTAAGACTCTTCAAAGACACATTAGATGTAAATGGATCCTGTCCATCACAAGCCAAGGAACCAGCCAATATATGCAAAGACGAAGGAAAAAATTACAGTTGGATATTCTCACTTTCAGAAGAAAATGGGTCTGAGGAGTCACAGAAAGGTTTCCATATTGGAGAGAAGTCAAATATATGTAATGAACATGGAAACAAGATAGTTAATAAAATGACATGCACGAGAGAGAAGCCATATAAATGTATGGAGTGTGGAAAGGGCTTTAGCCAAAAGAGTACCGTTATTACCCATCAAAGGATCCATACAGGGGAGAAGCCATATAAATGCATGGAGTGTGGAAAGGGCTTCAGAACAAGTAGTAATCTTAAACGCCATCAAAGGATCCACACAGGGAAGAAGTCATATAAATGCATGGAGTGTGGAAAGGACTTCAGTACAAGCAGTTACCTTACATACCATCAAAGGAGCCATACAGGGGAGAAGTCATATGAATGCATGGACTGTGGAAAGGGCTTCAGAACAAGCAATGAAGTTGCATCCCATCAAAGGATCCACACAGGGGAGAAGCCATATAAATGCATGGAGTGTGAAAAGGGCTTCAGAACAAGCAATCAACTTGCATCCCATCAAATGATCCATACAGGGGAGAAGCCATATGAATGCATGGAATGTGGAAAGGGCTTCAGAAGAAACAGTCATCTTAAATGCCATAGACGGATCCACACAGGGGAGAAGCCCTATAAATGCATGGTGTGTGGAAAGGGCTTCAGAATAAACAGTTACCTTACATTCCATCAAAGGAGCCACACAGGGGAGAAGCCATATCAATGCATGGAGTGTGGAAAGGACTTCAGAACAAGCAATGAACTTGCATCCCATCAAAGGATCCACACAGGGGAGAAGCCTTATAAATGTATGGAGTGTGGAAAGGACTTCAGAACAAGCAATGAACTTGCATCCCATCAAAGGATCCATACAGGGGAGAAGCCTTATAAATGCATGGAATGTGGAAAGGGCTTCAGAAGAAACAGTCATCTTAAATGCCATAGACGGATCCACACAGGGGAGAAGCCCTATAAATGCATGGTGTGTGGAAAGGGCTTCAGAATAAACAGTTACCTTACATCCCATCAAAGGATCCACACAGGGGAGAGGCCATATCAATGCATGGAGTGTGGAAAGGACTTCACAAAAAGCAGTGATCTTACATGCCATCGAAGGATCCACACCATAGAATATCCATATAGATGCTTGGAGTGTGGAAAGGGCTTCAGCACACCCCATAGTCTTATTTCCCATAACATAATTCATAGACTGGAGAATCCCCAAAACAAAGATACATTTGGGTGAGAATGTATGCTAATTATTGATTTAATGGGTTCTATGTATGGATTTATAATTTAAAGACTGAACTCTGAAAAGGGGTTTTGAATGTACATCACATGCAGGACACGCCCACTCCAGCTCCACGAATGGGGAAACCGTCGCAATGCATCACATGATGGCAACGTCATGCGGGGAGTTTGAAACCTGTGGTGTATAGGTTCATTTTATTTTATTTTTTAGAAATTAGCTTCCTGTTCCCCAACTGTCATCATTCCCCTAGTTAGTCATAGCTCTCAGAGGGATGCAAAGACATCTAACAGATGCTGCTTCCCTAAGCCCAAAAGGAAAATATCAAAAAAATGAAATTATTTACACCCATGGTGTAGAATCCCCAAAATTAATTATATTTGCATCCTCAGTGTAGAACTGAGACCTAAGTCAGCCAGTATCTATGCAGAAACATTGAACATTATTCAGTCAAAGGCCTCATGATATGAGGGAATTGTCACATGGAGATCAATGTAGAGCGTGTGGAAAGAGCTGAAAGGATTACAATTCCTCTCACAAAAGGAGCCAGAAGCACCCCAAGTGCTTGTACAATTTTCTTTTCAAGCATTATGGCCATATTTTGCTCTTCTGTAGTATGGTGAGGGCTAAGAAGTCCACCTATGGTTTAAATAAAATTAATTAAATATCAATGGTGTGGTTTTGTTCTAGTCATGTGTTATACTCATCTATTAAACTCTTTAGTTGCTTTAAAAATGTATTAACACAGGATTTTTGGAAGGATTTGGAGGGGGCATATTTCAGGATTTGAAGCTCAATTGTCAGTAATAGTTCTGGATCAAGCTGGACAATAAAGAGACCAAAAAGAGCAGAGAGGTTAACTCAGTTTTTTTAACCCCTTTTTTCTTTCCATGTACATCCTTTCACTAATTGTAGCTAAATCTCTTTTTTTCCCTCTTGCATTGTCACCTCCATATCCGGGGGAATCTCTTCAACCCATTGTAATCTTCAGTTCTTGTGGTTGGAACGTTTTTCTCTGTTTATTTATGATCTGTAGTTCATCAATGAATCCCAGTATCATTGCTCAGGCTGGTCCAGGTTATTTCTTGCCCCTCAAAGGCATTTTTGGGTCATAGAGGTAAGTCAGAAGGGATAAGACCTCTCACAAGCCAGAACGATCATGTAGGAATAAAGAAAAGTATTATGCGTACATGGATGAATAAAGTAGATGCAAGGGAAGACAAGATAGTGGATAAAACAAACGAGATTACAAGATAGTCCATGGGAGGACTGTAATTTAATTAAATGATAACCAAAAAAATTTAATAGTTGAAAGTTGCAGTTATATTGAGAAGCTTACTCGGGTTTCAACCAAGGTTTAAAAACTTTTCTGCAGCTGTTCTTCTTGCCTAGTTTTTTTTTTCTCCTGCTGTGTAGTTTTATGTCTCTCCCAGGTTTGTTTCATGTACCTCCCTGAACACAGAGGAGTGGCTTCTGACGGATCTCCTTTGTGCAGCCTAACTTCTGTTAAGAACCATGTTGCAATTAGCTAAAAAGTGGTGAGCAGGACCACCCAGTGAGTCTATGAGAAATCCTAAATTTTGAATCATGCATACATCACTCAAAGATGAAATTTTCTTAGAATCATAAGGTCTGGTCTGTCCTCTTTACGTTACATGTTACTCTGTGTGGAGCTTGACATTCAGCTAAACCCAATTATCCTCCAATAAACAGACCATGTCAGTAGATCTGGATGCTTTATTAAACGAACAGGATGGGTGGGTGCATACATGCATACACACACACAAAAACACTGCATTCCAGGTTTAGGGGACTTTTATCCACAGAGGATGGAGAGGGCCTTCTCCTCAAGCTCAGGCATGATTGGTAGTTTCAAAGTTCAGATGTGGATAAAAGTCTGCAAGCTTGGAATGGTGGGGGGCAGGGTGGATGTGCATAGCATGTCAAAGTAGATCTTCTTCTCCCAATCCCAGACATCCTTGGCATTTCCCTGTCCGGTGCCCTCTCTCGGCAAAGCTGGAGGCGGTGGATCACATGTTGCAGGTGGAACCGTGGAGGAGAAAGTTTGCAGGAAGCAGTTTCCTCCAAGTCCAACTTCTGCCTTGACAGATCTCTGGAGAGGAAGAGGGGGTGGTGGGGGAGCTATGTTCTGTCCCCACTAAACATTAGTCTGTGTGCAGCTCGACATGCAGCTACACCCACCTATCCCCCAATAAAACAGACCGTGTGCATAGATCTGAATGCTTTGTTGAAAGAACAGGATATGATGAAATGGGGGAAAATAGGGATACATACAATGAGAACTGAAATACAAGAGAGACCGTATTCAGTTACTGCTGAACATAACAATGAATAACTACAAGCAATTTAAATCTGGCAGCAATGCTCTGTGTGGGATGTGGGTTTGTCCTTGGATGACCATGTGCCACGGATTAAGATGGCTGCTTCTGCCTTCTCCAAATGCTAAAGGAAATGGAGTCTGGCTTCCCAGTATGCACTTGGTTTGAGAGCTCAGGCAGATGGGTAAATGGGTAGGATCTGCTTCAAACAATATACTTGGGGAATGTTTGTCCCTCCGGCCACTAGATGGGGCAAGAGAACAACAACAGTATATAAAGTTACATGGTGTGGCATGACAAGCTACATGGGGGAAGCTGGCCAGGCAAAGCAGGAGGCAGATGGTGACGCTGCCTGTGGAGCTGCAGTGTCCAACTTCTGCCTTGACAGATCTCTGGAGAACAAGAGGAGCATCACTCCCTGGTCCTGCATGAGGGAGTCTGGCCAGTGGTGGGATTCAAATAATTTAACAACCGGTTCTCTGCCCTAATGATTTATTCCAACAACTAGTTCATCAAACTGCTCAGAAAGTTAACAACCAGTTTCCTGAAGTGGTGAGAACTGGCTGAATCCCACCACT